TTTTGGGGTGTTTTTTTTTAGTTTTTCTGATGCTTCACTTTGGAGTTCCTCTGTAGAACAACATGGTAAAATCAAGAGTAGTCTCTTTCATGGTGAGACTTAATACAATTGTGTATGAATACCTCATTGTGGTGATAACACTCTACTGAGTGAAGGCTCCTGTAGTTACACTAATCTGCCCTCTCTGATGGTGTATTATGACACCAGCTCCAACTGCTCAGCCAGGATAAAGAATGGTCACTGTTCTGGGGAGGAAAGAGTTTTCACTGACTTAACCTGGGTTAAGTATTCCTTGCGTTAAGGTGCCCATCTCTGTGCTAGGACCAGGCTTTGGAGAGGGCTTTTCTCAGTGTGCAGAGCCCTTATGTCCAGCATGCTGTTTCTGTCTCCCTGCTCTCATCTTCCTAAACTTTCTGTCAGGTGTGCCTGACTCCTGGGGCACCGCTCCTCCCTGTCACAGAATGGTGTGTGTCAGCACTTCTTGCAGTGGTGCTGCCTGAGGGCTGTTCTGCACTCACTAGGAGTGTGTCCTGTAACGGGTTGGCTTCTATGGCTTCTACTGTGTGATGGGCAGGTGCTCTGCCTGGGTATCAGGCAAGTTAGAGAGTCTCCAGAATGTCCCTTCCATCCCACTCCTGTTTTCCTAGCACATTGCTAGCCGTTTCTGTTGCCTTTGAAATGCCTGCACCTGGACAGACTCTCTTCAGGCCTTAGGTGGGATGTGCTAATCATGCCTTCAGTGTTTGTGCCTCATGGGGCTCTCCAGAGCGAGGGGCTGCCTGTATCATGTGTAGCTGCTCCCAAATGACACACTACTTTGGATCTCATCAGCTGTATTTGAGATGTGTGAAGTCACGGTGATGCTGTCGGGTGAAGATTCTGCCTCCTCAGGTGCAGCATCTGCTGGAAAAGACGCTGTTTTCACAGCCCTGTTTGTCAGTGAAGTGTCCCCCTGGGCCCCCATCACCTGGGGGTGTCACAGCTCCTGTTCACTGGACTCTCCTACACAAAGACCTCGACTAATGTTGGTAATCAGTACTTAATGCTCAGGATACCCGAGTTGTCTGTGGCCAGAGGCTGGAGACAGAGGAGCCCAGGTTCTTGTGCATGTTCTTTGGTTGGTGCACGCAGAGGAATTGAGAGCTGTGAAAGCTGAGGAAGGGATCTCACATTCATGTGGCGGTGAATGTAGAGGGGCTGGCCACACCATAGAGGAGAGGGAATGTCTGAGCAGCTTAGGGTGCAGAGTCCCTCACATGTGTGAACACAGGAGTCTGTCTGAGCGAGGATTTGAAGAGCCTGCCTTATCCCGTGTGTGTTACTGTGACTCCTCCCTGGTCTCAGCCACACTGTGCCGTGGTCTGAACGGGCAGCACATATGACTGAGGCAAGATGCTTTGTGGCTAAAACAGCTTTGTATTGTAGGCAGCTGAAGGGCTGTGAAGGTGCTCACCCTCATTGTTTACCTGGCTGCTGACCTGGACTTTGGCTTGCTGCACCTCTGTTGAGTGCAGTCCTGAGCTCTGTGGAACAGGCCAGAGTGAACTGGACCTCAGTCCTTCTTCCCAGACTCCCTGTCAGTCCCACTGTTGTGCATGTTTCAGCTGCCAGCTCCTCCCTGGCGGCAGTGCTTTTGGGCACAGCTCAAGGCAGGGCACTGAGCCCTGGAGAATCTGTGCATCTGGCTGCTTGCCCCAAACGGTGGGCAAGAGGGGACCACTGAAGGTCCTCCTGCCCAGCTCAGCAGTACTGGTATCACTGGAACCTGTCCTTACAGGGCTGGTTGTGTGGCTCAGCACTGCAGTGGTGGTTATGCTGATCACTGAGACTCTCCTGAGACAGGGAGTGTGTGAGATAGGCTCTGCTGCAGGCAGAAAGGCTGTGAATGAGCCCATGGAGGAGACTTTTATTTCTTGGGTTTACAGGGAAAGGAGGAGATAAAGCCAGGAAAACATTGTGGAGTGGGATGGTTACCTGGGCTTTTCTGCTGGCAGAGATGTGACAGACTTCTCAGAGAAATACGTTCCTGCTGCTATTGTGAAGGAGAGGAGAGCTGTGGTGTGTCCTGCCTGGAGGAGGAGGAGCCCTCCTGGCCCTGGTCTTACCCAGCTCACACTCTGCAGCAGGAGTCAGTGGGATGCAATACTGAGTGTCTGTAGCCATCTGTCTCATCCCATGGAACATTCCTCGGGTCAGCTGCCCAGCGGAGCCAGGCCTGTCATTCACAGCAGAGAGTGCTCATGCCTACAACTATGCAGAGGAAGCTCTGTCTGGAAGAGAGGAAGCTGCAGAGGGCCCTCTGCCTTCCCCTTCCAGCCACTGAGCAGGTATAATGCACTTTTCACATTAAGTGTCCCTGTCCCCACCCCCACACTTGAAGTCACTTTGCCCCATAGAGAACTAACAATCCTTGTTACTCAGAAAATATTGTTAAAGAAACTACAGCAGCTGGAGTAGCCCAAATGGTAGTTCCTGCCCGCAGCAGCACACGTGCCTTTCCCCAGCATCACTCACAACTGCTCCTTGTCTTTCAGGCTGTCCTAGGGCCTGACCCTTTGCAGAAGCTGCTACGATGGCCATGAGTGCACATTCTGAACAGTTTGGCCCCCGATGTTCCATGTATGGCTTAAAAGGTTGATGGTCCAGGCCCTTGCACAGCCTTCACACCTGGGATTGCCCCTAAGGTCCTTCCAGGCTGCTGCTGCCAACGTGCCCCTGCACACTCGGGTTGTTTTCAGCTTTCATGGCACCTTAGCGCCGGGGAGGGTCTGCCCAGAGACAGACAGACAGACACAGGGGGGCCGGCTGGGCTGCCCTGAGGCAGGGAGGTGTTTGTAGATAAGTGCTGACCCCTCACTATAACCCCAGTATATGGCTGTATTAACATGTAACCGACGCAGTGTATCTAAAGCCTTAGAACTAGTCAGGTGCTCCCCTCCAACCTTGTCCCTGCCCCTTTCCTCCTACCTGATCTTTAACAAAGCATTAATAATTCTAAGGATAATCTCTATTTTGTTGTGCTTTTTTTGTAACTGTTTTAAATAAATCAATTTGTACTGTATATTTGTACTTTTGGTGAGATCCTTTCTCCTGTTTTACCATTTTAAGTCTGTACTTGGCTACACACAGATTGTATTTTTATTGTTAATGCTCTTATGAATATTGCATTTAACTTGTTGACTCTGTAAACACAGTATATATCTATATATATATATCTCTATATATAAACCAATAGCTTTTCCTTTGGTGTTTGAGACTTTTTGCTTGTCTGTAGCATCAGTGATCATCAAGATGTGGTTTCTCTGGTCTTACACAGTGATCTGGAGACTCATGACAAGGGCAAGGTACAGGTTGTCTGACAGATGGATTATAAGCCATAATTTTTTCAGACACTTTTGTTTTATGTGGTCTCTCTTGAACCCCTTGGCATAAAGATGCCAGTGGTGTTGCAGGGAAAGTTCCAGCTGCAGGTTGCAGAGTGAAGGTACATTTCTACTGGGCAAGCAAAATTCATGAGGTAGAGCAAAAGTAAATACTGCCAAAAGCAAACTGGGTTTGAGTATGAAAATGGACAGAGGTAAGAAAAGAGATCAGAAAACAAAGGAGGAGATGAACAAAGGAACATGGAACTGAACAGCTCCTTTCCAGATCTGGTGCCTTTTTCCAAAATAAGAGAAACGGGGATGGCTCCTGGATGTCAGTTCTACGTGATGAATTTCATGTAAAAACAGCTTCTGTGGGAGGAAACAAGATGTTGCAGTGGCATGTGGAGGAAACTAGCACTGAAAAGGTTCAGTGCTCTTTCCTAGCAGCGTCCCCAGGGCTGGCACTAAGGGTAGTTCGTTATCACCAGAAAAATGCAACATAAATGCACTTTGAAGGCAACTTCTGTAAGTTTAACTAGGGCTTTAAGGGACTGCAATCAAAAGGTTTTTCAAACTGAAAAATGAGGGGGAAATAGGGTTCTAAGTAGTCTGGTCAAAAGGTTTTGCTTCTTGTTTTAACTTCACTCTTCTGATCGCAAATAGGAGTCTTGTGGTCTCCATTTCTCTGCAAAGCAGAGAGACAGCCATCAGAGAGAAGACAGTAGCTCCCAGGGTGTTTGAACCAGTGTGTGACTCCAGATCTTCACTGGGAATGCAATGGAGGTAGTAGAGGTCTTCAGGCTACAAAACACAGAGGTGTGGCACACTGGTTCATGTTTGCAAACCACAAAGCTACACCATACATTTTCAGATACACATTCTTAAAGAAACCCAGTAACAGAGAGTGTACCGCCTCTTTGCCCCTCATGAGTCCTTCTGTGCCACTGCTTTTTGCCTTTTCCACATTCAAGATGCCTAGATTTAATTTCCATAGTTTAATAGTGGGAACATTTTCCTATGGGCATAGGCTATGATCATGTTTTGCCTCCAGTACATCGGTGCTGCTCTTGCACTGGGAACCCCAGCACTGGAAACAGGACTCCAGGTGTGGCCTCACCAGTGCTGAATAAAGAAGAAAGCAAACCCATACAGTCCTAGAAACTGACCTGCTCTATCATTTGCTATTCAACCATTTCTTCCACTTGCAAACCTGAAATGCTGTTTAGGTGAAAATTAACTTCTGAGTAAAGCAGCAAACTTGTCTGCTGTTTGCTTTCCCCGGCCAGCCTTTCTTTTACTGTTTTTATGGGGTATCTTACAACAGGAACTTAGTTTCCTCTTCATTTTTCCATGGCTGCTACTGCAAATAAGCACATAATAGTGTTAAGAAAAATGGTGTGCACAGCAAGACATCCTCCTTTGTTTCCTTGTTATGGACACAAACTGCAAAGGCTTTATTCCTGGAGGACTTGTGCACTACCAAAGTCTTCGGCTCCTTAAATCATGCTGCAGTAAACAAGATCCCTTTTTAGTGAGGCGAGTTTCACCTGCAGCAGAAGTGCCACAGCCCAGACCCATCTATGGGGCAAGGGTCCAAGAACAGGACAAACCACGAAAGGTAAAGAAGGGGACTAATAAACGTGAACATTAATTTATTTTCCTTCTGTCACAGGCTGTGACTTGGCCCCCAGAGCAGACTGTATACTCAGAATCTGCTCCCACCAGAGCTGCTCCCACCAGGTGGCAGACATCTCTCAGCTCTGTTCTCCTCCTGGGTTCAGAGGAGAACCAGAACCACCTGTCAGGGAAGGTCAGAGAGAGACCCCCAGCAGCCTGTGCAGAAGCCTGCTAGTGCACCTGGGGCAGGCACGGCAGAGGCAGCACCATTCGTGGCTGTGGTTTACTGCAGCGCATTGTTGCTCTGCTCCTCAAAGGTCATTTTGCCCAGCAGCTGGCTCTCCAGCTCCACATTGCCCACTGGCAGCTGGAAAAAGTTCATCTCAGCTGCCAAAGCAGCCATGGCAGAGGGGTCCTGGCCAAACTGTGCCCGGAGCATCATGTCCATTTTTTCCAGGCGCCGCTTGAGCCTCTTGGCCTCGCGCTCCCGGATGAGCCGGGCCTGTCGCTTCTCGGGGGTCTCGTTGGCGCGTTTCAGGCGCATGGCCTCCCGGTCCCGCTGCAGCCGCCGCGCCCGCTGCTCGTCCGTCTCCTGCATGCGCTGCAGCCGCTTGGCTTCCCGGTCCCGCATGCGTCTCACTTCCCGCTCCTCGGGCGTCTCATTGTCCCGCCGGCTCTTCTTGGCCGTGCGCTCCCGCTCCAGGCGCTGCAGCCGCACCTCCAGGGGCTCGTTCTGCCGCCGCAGGGCCCACTTGCGCATGCCGGGGCTCTGCGCCTCCAGCAGCTTGCGGTACGCGGCACAGTTGTTGCACACCAGCAGGACGCCCGCGGGGTACACGGGGGTGCGAAAGGCAACGTCCTTCCCCTCGGCGCCGGACGGGCCCTGGCTCTGCGGCGCCGGCAGCCGATCTGCACTGAGCACCTCCGGCAGCTTCTCACTGCAAAGCATAAGGGGCAGAATCAGACTTGGTGCTGCCGGCAGAGTCCCCATCTCAGAGTTCCCGGGGGCTTCCATGAACAGTGCTCCCACTACAGCCTATGGCAGAGGCCTCTGCTAAACCATTTGCCCACAGATGCATGTGAATATCTTCCGGGGTAGGAAGTGGGTGAGCCCAGAGCAGCATCTGGGTTGGAAGAACGCAAGAGCAGGAATTAACCAGTGAACTGCTCCTCTCCATCATCTCTGGATTTTTCCTTTCAGCCCCATTCCACTGGTCAGTGGATAATTTCCCACCAGCCAGGGAACAAAGAAAGAACATTTTGGTCTCTGCCTGTAGCCCTGCTTTGGAAATGATGAACCCACCTGGGCAGTGCAGCCCTGTGCTGATGGGTTGCTGGGTAAGGGAAGTGGTGTGTTGTTCTCTGGTGACTAAAGACCCCAGTGGTTCTTGCACCCCTCTAGCTCTGCACAGAGCTAAGGAGCACCCTTTTAGCACCACATCCCCTGGAGGTCTTCGCAGGGGATGCAGAGATGCAGACAGGAAGGGATCAAGGGAATCTCACTCACTGGGGATGTTTAGCACTGTCCTACAGGTCTCGGTGTGTCCAGAGCCACAAGTTCTGAGTCATTTAAGGCAACCCACCTAATCTTTAATGTGGTGCTCTAGCCCACTCACCAGCCAGGGAGACCCTGACCTGTTGAAGGTGGCGTGGCTGGTGAAGCGTGCTCCACACACTGCACAGTTGGACAGCTGGTCCTCCGAGTGGATCAGGAGGTGCCTCCCAAGGGACCCCGGTGAGCTGAGGGCTCTGCCACACACAGGACACAGGTAGCTCTTGGCACTCACCACTGCTGCAGTGTGCTGCAAAACAACCGCTCAGGTGTTAGTTATACACTGCCCAGCTCCCTGCCCAGTCCAAGGCACGCTCAAACCATTCTGTTCAGCCTCTTGGAATGGGAACCCTTTACCACTACACCTCTGTCTGACAGCAACTAGATCAGGCTCAAGACATTTGGTGTTTCACAGGTCAAACAAGGAGAAAACCCTTCTACAGCTCCACTCCAGTGCAGGAGAAACAATTAAGGGCAAACACACGTGGATCGCAAGACCCTTGTTTTCAGAAAGGCATTTGGGGAGCAGCTGGTGCTGGACAAAGCATGACTGGATTAATAGCAGGCAGGATGCTGGTGAGGGAGCACTTAGATGGAGGCAGCTGGTGCAGATAAGAGGCCAATTCAGTCCTGCTTCATTCCTTCTGTTACAGACTTTGATGTGCTACAAAAAGAGCACTGACAACAAAACCTGAGATTCCACCAGATTTCCTGCAAAACTGGAACCAGGTAGAGGAAGAACAGCTATTCTTATGGCTAATTACACGAACTGTAATGAAGTAAAAAATAAATGAGTTATTAGGAGGAAGGTTTCTTATATCACTGAATGATGTAAAAATTGCCTCCTTTTAATCTGAAGGAACTGTCTGGCTTTAGCCTGCAGTACTTGCAGAGACTGCCATGGGATAGAGTTGTGTTTTTCAGATCTGCAGACTGGTGCCTTGCTAATTCTTTCCCCAGGACACCCTCTGGACACAGTTTACTGCTGTAAAGTTCAGTCACATCCTAGCTAGAAGCTCGGTTCTCTAATTGGAAAGACCAGAACAAAGTTACTCTACACTTTGGGCTGTTTCTGGACTTGGGGCTTCAGGCCAGAGACATCCCTACCTGGTACACATGAGCAATAAGCTGCTCTCTGCTTCCACACTCCAGCTGGCAGAGGGGACACTGTGACAGTCCCAGCATGGGGTCAGTGTTCAAATTCTCAGGCACCTACAGAGAGGAACAGCCACTTTGGTGAAAGGCACACAGCCCCCTCCACAGCCCCCCACCCTCCCTGAGCTCCGCCCAGCGCTGCTGCAGATCCAGTGCTGTGTGCCCAGTCCCACTGGGGCTGCTTTGGGTTCCTGACATCTGAAACCTCCTTCACATAGCCTCTGAGCAAAACTCCTGCATCTCAGGGAGAAGAGGCAGAGGCCTCATGGCCTCCACTTGTACCCAGGCTCTTGCCAGCACCGTGGCTCTGGAAGGCAGGGCCTGCTCTGTGGCAGGGGGAAGGAGAAGTCCATCGGAGAAAGGCACCAAAACTGAAGGAAGGGGACACACTCCACAAACATTTTGGCCAGTTTGTGCCTGCTGTCTCATAATCCTGGCAGCACAAGAGCTCTTCATACCCTTTCCTCCTGCCAGGAAACGTTTGGAGGAGGTGGGAGGGAAAGAACAGTAAAGAACTGTGATGGGGAGAGGAGGTGTTTAGAGAGTACCCTTCTCCCTCCCTGAAGGCTACAGCGAGTGCACAGCCAATACACACTTGCCTCGTTTTCTCTCATCAGGGGGGTTCCGGCCATGGGTCGTTCTGCATTCTCTAATTCCTTCTTCACTTTCACCGTTGAGCCATCCTCCTCTGATGTATGGGAAGAAACTTCATCCTGGGTGGTTTCCTCATCATCACTGCCACCTGAAACATGCAGAACAGTTATGCCAAGTGCCAGGACCCTGAGGGCATTCATAGGCCTCAGGGTCTTAACTCATAGGTCTTAACTGTCTCGACCAGCATCAATCACATGGTGACTCTATCCAACCCTCCAACCATGGGCTCCATTTAAACTCAGTCTGGGGCACTTCAGTCCCTGAGCTGCTCTGCAGAGTCCCTGGGCATGGCCTCTTGCCCTGCCTTCCTCGATAATTGCCAGACTGTCAGCTGGACTTGCTGCCATTTCCTCCCCACTCTGGTGAGGTGGGACTGTGTCCCGGTGGTGAGGGCATTGCCCAGTCTGTGCTGTGCTGGTCCTTGGCTCTGGGCTTGTCTTCTCTCAGGACGAAGTCCTGCACAGGAGCCAAGGGCTGACATGGAGGAGGAACTGGGTAAGATGGTTCTCAGAGGACCCCCCACACCCTGTAGCCTCACCCCTTCTCAGAGTCTCCCCAATCCACTACCTTGCCGTTATTGGAAGGGGCAGAACTCACTGCTGCTGGAGTCGGGGTCTTGCAGCGGACGGATGCCTGGCCTTTGGTCCCCAAGAGCTCCAGGAAAGTTGTTTTTCATCATGGCTTGGCGGGCTTGCTCCTCCAGCCCTGCAAAGACTTGCTCCCCTGGTAGCCACAAGGACAAAGAGTCAGACTAGTGCTGTTTCATTGCATTCACCACCACAGCTTGCCAAAAACACAACAGGCATAGGGCTGCTCACCTGCATGGTGCAGAACCTCTGGAGTCACTTCTTGGAAAGCACTTATGTCACTTCTTTGCTTGCCTACCCTGCCACACCAGCCTCTGGCACCTGCTGGTGCAAGTCCAGTTCCTGGGTGTAGAACAGTCTCAATAGGGCAATGTCCAGCATTGGGCTGCCCCCTGCATATGCTGTATATGCCACTCCAGCCACAAAAAACCTGTGAGACCCCATATACCTGCCTTAGTGAGCCAGGTGGCTTTTGCTGCCAAGCTATCCACCAATATCCTACAGCACAGCTCTGGGCTGTGGGAAGCCCCTGGGGACTATGAAAGTATCCCAGATCAGGGATAACAGCGTATAGCTCTTCTAAATCAACAAGTCCTATTCCCTGCTATAACAGGCATCTTGCACAAAAATAGAACCTCCCTAAGTGCCTGGTACATCACCTGCCCTCCACAGTGATACCAAAACTAGGGGCTGTCCTTGGCATGCTCTGTCACCTCCTTCTGTCTCAGGAGGGATAAGGACAAGCTGTCCTTGCAGAAGGTGTTTATGCTTGGAGCTGGTGTTCTCCTGTGCACACGATGGATGACTTGCTCCACTACCTTGCCTTGCCCAGGAATGGCTATCCCTAAAGTAAATCTCAGGGGCACTTAACGTGCTCAAAACAGAAACCCAAGGGAAGGAACCCAGAGAGCTGAGATGCACATTTAGGACAAAACAGCCTGTTCTGTTGCAAGCACTGACCGCTAGTACCTCAACTCAACAGGAAATGGCAAACACCTTGGAAGAAAGCAGTTATTTGTGCTTCTCTGAAAGAAAACCTTCAGCAATCCCCACTCAAGAGAACTTTTGGTTCCAGAGAATAACAATAAAAGGTAACCACTAATTTTCATATTCAAGCAAACAAATTACTTTGTTCCAGGTGTAGTTGTGATTTACCTTTTTCAGTAGATGAGCTGGGAGGCCTGGAAAAGATGCTGAAGTTCCCAGCAGGCTGGCTTTTGGGTTGCATTTATCAACTAATTTGTAAGTGCTTAAGGACCCCTCAAAGCACAAATGCAAAAATGCCAAGGAAGATGCAGTGCATTTTTCAAATAAAATCAAAACACAGCTTTCAGAAGAAAATGTTGCTTTTTAGTACTGGGCCACAGCTGACATCAGTTTAACCAGCGAACTGAATTCCCTGAGAGAGCACCAGTCCTGTTACAAGGACAGGCACATTCCCACATGCTGAACTGTTCCAGTCAGTGTTGCTCTGTGGTCCCACTCCCTGCCTTTCCTGGGGCTTACCTCACCATTTTGGCAGGGCTTTAAAAAGCCATAATTTAGAGAAGATTTCAAAGACCTTCAGAAGTTTCACGGAGACTGTGGGAGAAGAGTTTTAGTTCCCAAAGTCCCCATGGAGGTTTCCAAAAGCATTTGAAGGTTTTTATCATTCTGTTTCAGAAACGTGAGAAAGGTTTCTGTAGATGACTTGAGAACACAATCCATGCGTCTGAGGAGAGGTGCTGGGAAGCACCCCAAGTCACTGAAAGCAAGAGGAACCATCATGACTCCTGGGATACACGTAGCCCATTCAGAAGCCATTGCAGCACCGAATGGTTTTCATGACGTGGAGTGGTGTTTTTATGCCTGGACCACAGCTTCATGTTGGTAGGACTGAGATACAGACTGTACAAGCAACAGACACCACAGAATCCCAGAGCCTCTCCAAGAAGCAGACACCCACAAACCACCAGGATAAAAGCCCAGAGACCAAAAAAGCATTGCAAGGGAATGGTGAAATGGTGAAATGAGGAAACCTGTAGAATGCAGGACAAATATAAAACTACGGTGGGAGATGTGCTACCTGTGACAAAGTTCCAAAAGAGGATTCCCAAATGCCACTGCAGCTGGTTGTAAAAGCAGTTATGTGTTTGTTTGCTTCCCTCTCTTCCCTTCCAGACAGATTACATTCCCACTGAGCAGCAGGCTGGAGTCCAAAGGCAGGCAGGTTGCTGCTCAGTTATACAAGCCCTGCAGATCGTCTGCAGGATTTAAGAGCTAGGATCTCTATCCAGGTGACAGGGGGAACTCCTCCCATCAGAAACATTGGTAAAAGTCACTGTAACCAAGAGCAATCGTGTGTACCTGGGGCCTCTGCACAGCACTCCCAGAGCCCAGTGAGCATTGACTCAGCACAGTGCAGAGAACAGCCAGCTTACAGCCAGCAACACAAGCTGTTAACCAAACCCGTGCTGTTAGCAGGGATGCCCTGTGCATCCTCCACAGACTGAATCCGAAAACATCACGGGATTGGGAAACGCATACATGTAAAAATGCTGTCTTCAGCTTGTACAGAATTTCTTATGTGTTAATAATAACAGTGTCCAAAAGAATTTAGCAAAGAGTGTCCCGCTCACCTATTGATGAACTAAGTCCTACTTTGATGAAGCCTTAGAGCTTTAATGTTTGATAGGTACAGGATTGTACTTTTGTTGTTTCTGCACACACATGCTCCCATACAGCCACTTACGCCCCTCCCTCCACCCCACTTTGGATTCACTTCCATTCATTTGGAAGGGGAGTAAGATAGGCAACAGCTTTAGGATCACTGCCATAAATAACGGATGTTATGCTTAATAGTGAATTCACAGACTCTTCTCCAGAAGTTTCTTTATTAAATACAAAAAGGGCTGCAGGCTGACCACAACACCAAAACAAGTCACTGAAGTTGCTTACAAGCAGCTAGAGACGAGAGATCACACAAATGCCTCTGCTTTGTATTCCATTCTCCTCTCCATACTCCTTTGAATGAGTGGGATACCAGGTGAGCAGCGGTGGAGGTAGGGGACAGCCCTGTGGTACTGTGCAACAGGGACAGGCATGACTGTTAGGGTCTGCTGGGTTATCAGCCCTGAGCCCTTCCCTTCTCCAACTGCATGAGTGCAGGACAACTCTCAGGTGTTCTGGAAAATAAACACACAAACAAACAACTCCCATCCCAAAATCCACAAAACAAAATCCAAAGGAACTGCATCATTCCCCTGCCTTCCTTCCTAAACAGAAGGGTCTCTCAGAGATGAGTCACTTTATTCCCCCCTTATACATCAATTTTAAGTCCCTGTTCATGTAGGTCTTCTCTGTGTTCCTGGACCTGAAATTTGCAAGTCTTTCCACCACTGTGGATCTATTCCACCTGCCCCATGGCTATTCTGGGTTGTCCACACTGCTGTAGTGGTTACTGAAATGAAAAACAACACAATTGAAAGGGTTAACAATGGCAGCCCACGGAGCCCTTCAGAGCCAAGGGTTTTGATGCAAGTAACATTTCTGCTTGGTTGAGAATGCTGGGTGTATCTTGCAAGATATGTTCTCTTCAAACTGGGAATATTATAGACAGCAGAATCCAAGGAAGACCAAAGAGCACAGAACGTGTGTGTGTCAGAGAGAGGGAAGCAAATAGAGGATTAATGGGATATTAGGACCACGATAAATAGAGCTCAGAAGCAGGAATTAATCTGACTAACAGAAGCTGTTCTCCAGAGTTCTAAAATAAGCATCAGTTGCAGAGGGCACAAGCAACAGAAAGCAAAGCAGCTCGTGGACAGCAGGGAGAGAGAAGTGCACGCTAACACCAGCAGTGAATTTTGGCAAGCACAAAGACAGCAAGTGGTCCACGACTGATGGGGTGACAGCGCAGCAACGGACGGGCTTGAGTGCAAGAGCAGATGAATTGCTTAGAGGCTTTTTATACTTTTCTACTTCAGACTCTGCGAGACAATAAAGACCAAATTGAATCAATTAAGGTATCTCCACAGAAACAACCTAACTGTATTCTATTTTTCAGTAAATATATTCCACTGTTACCGTTCTCTTTATTAGCACTTTGTCAAGTGTGTTTTTCATGCACTACATGGCAAAACAAAATTAAATTATCAAGAGCCAATTATGTGCTGCAGGGAAAATGACTACAATTAAAACTATAGGACTGGTCACCATGCACAATGAGACTTTTGTGATAATAGTAATTTTTATCATTGTTTTACCACTGCTTCAGTATTATTTTGAATTTCCTTACACATCAACCTCCACTTAAAACTCTTTTGACTTGTAAAACAATCTCCTAGCTGTTCGCTCTGCATGCCAAACAAAACGATCTTGTGCTAAGTGAGGACAGCAAACCATTTTGTGAGAGCAAGGTGAAATGAGAGCCATGCCAAGCCTGGAAAGTGACCCTGGAAAGAGGAAGCACCAAGCAAGCCAGGGAGAGGAGATCTGCAGCTGTCGCTTGCCCTGGTGAGTCCAAGAAGGGAACATGGAGTAGCCATGCAAGGAAGAAGTAGGCACCATCCTCTCATTAAATTTGTCCAGTCAGATATTCACAGTTGTATTTATGCAAATCCAAAAAGCACTTCCCCAGCCCCAGAGCCTGCCGAATCAGATCCCAGGTGCAGACAACTGTGTAAAAAGCTGCATACCTGCTGTCCCTTTCATTCCTCTCCTCCCAACCACTGCAGTCCCTGTGAAGAAGTCCCAGTAACGTGTCTGCTATGTCTCAGCCTGACTCCTCATTCTGCTGGCTCACCCCGTTCTTGGAGCCGATGCTCTCTCCGATTATCCTCGTCAGGGCACTGCACGGCATTTCTGGGCCCTCCAGACACACAGCGGGCTAGGTAGACAGAGAAGTCCCAACGATTTCGTGGTGTTCATCATAAGACAGTCAAGATTTTCCATCCCAAGGTGGAGACATCATCACTGACATGTTTCTGGTATCTTTCGGTCCCTTTATTTTCTTGTGGTCCTACTTGCTGCTCCTGATGGCTCCTGCTGAGTAGTTGCTCTGTGGCAACGTACTGCATGTAAAGGACGTGAACAGGTCCCAGAATTCCTCTCCATGGCATACCTGATGCCATAACCTCAACCTCATGCCCACTGGTAGAGTGTTTGTCAGGCAGCTTCTCCCAAGACCAAGACTGGAGATACAATCACTTGTATTGCAGATAGAAAAGCAATGTTCACTATGAAAACAGTGCACAGCTGAACTCTGTGATAGGTAGAGTTTTATATATAATAATACAAGCTTCTGAAGAACATGACCCTTACACTGTGCAGTGTGGAAAAGCGCCATCCTAAACACCATGGAAGCTGTACCTGCACCATTGGAGCTGCTGTAGCCCTTGGTTTCCATACTCAAGAGAAGCCCCAATTCTGCCCCCAGGGAGACAGCTTAAGTGCATGACTGATATAAACCTGAGCTCAGTGGCAGCACTACTACCTGGGCACTCTCAGAAGCGAAAGTATGTGGACATAAGGCGTGTTACTGGCATCATAGGACAAAATACAGGACATTCCAAATTTCTCTAAGGAAAACAACTCCAAAGTCATTAACGCAGTATCAGGAAAATCACAACTATACTCTGCCCACTTTGGAACCCAGCGCCCAGAAGCAGGAATCAGAGAGCACAGGGCAGTGCAGATGCCACAAGCCACACCCCAAGACCCTCACGCTGGTCACCAAGGACAGCCCGGTCGGCTCGCCCGAGCTGAGTGGCCGGTGTGGCTGCAAGTCCCAGAGAGAGGCAGTTCTTCCCAGTACACTCACTGAGTGTGCAAGGTGTCAGGCTCCAACAGTGTTTCCTCACACAGAGAGCAGCATGCACAGATCCCTGCTGTGTACCTATGCACGGAGGCAGCACACAGACATGCAAGCCAGCAGCACCAGCAGTGAGGCAGTGTTAGGGCTGCAGCACTCAGCTCTGTCTCATACTCCTGACAGCTATTGCAGCTAGCAGTATCCAGGGCCCTCTCAGCAGCCTTGCTCTCATGGGTCTACAGAAATGAAAGAAGAACTTGTTTTCCTCATTCCAGCCCAAACTCCAAGCATGCCTCCAGCCACAAACCCGGGTATGAACAAGGGCATAGCTCCAGGCCCCTCAACTTCCCTCTGCTACCACTAGTCAAACAAAAGCCATACATGTGCAGTTTCCCCCCTGCGGCCAAACCTCCACCCATGTCTTCCCGCTGCACTGACACCTGGCTGTAGCCTGCCCACAAAAGTGCTAATGTACAGCATCTTCAGCCTGTCAAACAAATGTTAAGGTCTTGGCAAGGTTGGAGAAACAATGATCTGTCCTACCAGCTCAGGTCAAGAATGATCTGGTAGACAGTATTTGTCTGTCCCGTGAATTACTTGACCACCACCCCCTTCCTGACGGGAAAGAGCAAATGGCTTTATTTAATTATCTAGTAGGAAACTGGGGTACAGTGAGCTTACACAGTGAGTAACATGCCCAAGGCCAGTCAGCTCAGTCTGGTAGGACGAAGATCAAAACCCAGGACTTGCTGGCTTTCAGCCACATGCCCAAAGCACCTTGCCTACAACCTCTTTTGCTACTCAAGACAGGCCCTAAGTCACATTTCCTAGTATTCCAACTCGCACTTATGACACAAAGCCCAGCTACAGGCCCTGCACATACAAACCTACCTCTGCAGCATTAGTTGTTTGTTCAAGCCTACCCCTGTCGTGTCACGCCGGGGCACAGCCAGCTCCCCTGACGCACAGAGCTCAGATTGTCTTCTTACGCTCCCTAAGACAAAATGTGAGTAGCCACCCTTCCCTGCAACCTGTACCTTCCCGTCATTCCCATCCTCCCTATCTCACTCCGCAATCCAGACAGAGGGTCACACACTGCTGTGTAACATCATACTCACAGTGAACTTTGTTAGGAGTGGTCTGTTTCCGACGGGACATGTTTCCCTGACCTGGGAGCAGAGTGTTCCTCCCGTCAGCAGAGGGCTCACCTGAGAAGAGAAGATCCTGTCACACACTTCATTGGAACCTTCCGAGTCTCTGGCCAAGCTCAGGTGGTTGTCCCAGGATCACTCTCCACCTTCTGCCCACGGGGCTCGTTCTGCATCACCACAGCTGGATTTCGTGCCAGCATCCAACACAATCCACAAGTGTTTCACGAGTCATCATGCACGGGCAGTCCTATCCAGTTCTCAGGCAAAGGTTTGAGCAATCCTGAACCCCCCCCAACCAAACTGAGTGCCCCCTTCAAGAGTGACTGCAACCTCAGTCCCAACACCCTTCTCCCTCCTGTTCATTCCTGTAGCTTCATCATCGACTGCTTGTCCTCAAACTGACAGAAGAAGGTGACAATCCCATCAGTCCCCTCGGACAGACAAAAGGAGGATCCGAACCCTTCCCCACAAGACAGTCACAGGGATCCCATCAGCCTCCTCAGAAAGGTGTACACAGAGATCCTGTCAGCCTTTCACTGACACACGCACAAGGATCCCGTCAGTCCCTCACCGACTGATGGACACAGGGATCCCATCAGCCTCAGACACACAGACAAAAGGATCCCGTCAGCCTCTCGCTGACAGACTGACATAGGGATCCCGTCAGTCGCCTCAGATGGATGAACACGGGGATCCCGTCAGTCTCCCCAGACAGCGGGATACAGACGGCAGTCCCAGGACATGGGAAGCGGCTGGAGGAACTGGACCCGCAAGCGGCCGAACACACAGACAAAGGGACGCGGCTCCCCTGGCACTGGGACGGACCACCGAGGGTCCCGACCCGGCAGCCCCAACAGACAGATCGGCCCCGGCAGCGGAGGGGCCGCCGCGGGGCCCGTCCCGCCTCTCGCGGGCGGCAGCGCCAGCCCGGCCCGGCCCGGCCCGCCTTACCCGGTCCCGCCGCAGGCGCCGGGAGCCACGGACAGACAAAGGGCAGCGGACAGACGGACGGGCAAGATGGCGGCGCCGCCGGAGCGCGCGGCGCGGGCACGGGCGCGGGCACGGGAGTGACAGCCCGGCACGGCACCGACACACACCGGGAGCCCCAGCCCAGCGCCGTCCTGGCTGTCACCGACTCGCCTGCAGACCCCAGGTGCCGGTTTTTCATTAGCTGAAGCGTCTCACCTGTTTGCCATTGATCCGCCCCAGCCCGCGGCTCCCGGCCGCCCGAGGGAGCTCATCCGTGCCCGCGGCGGGGCTCCCTTGCCCCGGCCGCCTCCGCCGGCAGCTCACCGGGAGCGCCCGTGCCGCCCCGGCTCACCGGGATCTCGCGTACCCTGCAAGGCCAAAACCCACGGGTTTAGCATCAACACGGACACACCGCGCGCGTTGTAAACCGGCGCTCCCACCGAGAGCTGAACTGCCCCTCCCCGCCGGCTCGGGGCCGCCTCCCCTCGCAGGCAGCCGAGCGCCGCCGCCGCGGGCCCGCTCACCCTGGGGCTGCGGCACCGGGCCCGGGACCCAGCTGGACCTCGGCCCGACCCTCCCTTACGGTGGCACTAGCGCAGTGTGACCCTCAGAGAACCGAGGACGCCCCGGCCCCGCTCACCATCCGCGACCGGGGCACGGCGCGGCAGCCACGGGTGGAACACCGCACTGCCGGAACCGCCGCGCCGGGGGCGGGCACCAGCGGGGCCTATCGGGCGTGACACAACAGAGCCGCGCACAGGCTCCCTCCGCCGAGTCATGTAGTCCCTCTGCGCCCCTCTCCCGGGGACGTGGCCGCTCCTTCCCCTTCCTGCCCGGTAGCCGCCGCGCCGGGGAGGCGTCTGGGAGGCCAGACTAGAAGAGCGCCCGCCGCGGCGGCTCGGCCGTGCCCCGGGCAGAGAGCGGGGAGTGCCGGCTGCGGGGATCCCTCCGCTCGCGGTGAGGCGCTGCTACCGGCACGCCATTTTGGGTGACAGAGGCCCGGAGCTGCCGGAGGTGAGCGGGGCCGAGGCCAGGGAGGAGGAGCGGGGTGGTGGGTCGCGCTCTGCGGCCGAGGAGGTGCAGCGCTGACGGGGAGGCCCTTGCCCAGAGTCTCCCGCAGTCCCTCCTGCGCTGTAGGACGTTCCCGTTCGCTGGGGAGAGAGAGGGAATTCTCCTCGCGGCTCCTCGGGTGCAGCTGCGCCGATGGAGCCCGCCCAGAGCACTGTCCGAACTGGCCCTGGACCTTGGGCCGGACACGGCGGGTCTCGCCGGGCGGCTGGTGGGGCTGATGTGGCCGCCCTGGCAGCCGGGCCGGGGTCACGGCTCGCCCCGCGCTGGGCAGAGCAGCCGCCGGCACGAAGGATGGGGAGGCGAGATACAAACCAGCGTCTTTCTATGTGATATCTTCTTAGGAACCTTTGGGGTTTTTTGATGAACAGTTCTCGGAAAGCAAAATGCTCTAATTAAATATCTTCAGAATTAGCTTTCCGTAGGGTTATTGAGTTGAAATGGCTCCTGGGGAGACTGGGGGAGTGCCAGAGCGTGTGTTCAGTAAGCAGGAAGAGTGTGGGGAATGTGGAATGGCAGCTTTTCCTTCTCCTGACACGACTGATACAACCTTAGTTTCTGCAGTTCTTGGGGTAGTTATTTAGCTGGTTTATCATTTGCATATTGGTAGGACAGAGTTGGGCTTTTTTCTTCTAGTTGACTTTTCTGTTTCTTTAAAAATATCCAGGAAGTTTCCTGGAAGTTTCCAAGGCCAAACCTGTTGGGCTTGGTTAGGCGCAGGGTTGTGAAGTGGAAGAGGTAATGATGAGTGCTGGAGGTCCAGCTATTTATAAACAGCTAGATTCTGGAACGGCAGGCCTGGGCTTTTGGGGGAATTTCTTGGCCTTCCCGGTTCCAGTGACCCTCCCTGTTCTCCCCAGAAGGTGTTTATGATGCTGGGCTCTGGGTTCAAGGCCGAGCGCTTGCGAGTCAACCTGCGCCTTGTTATCAATCGCCTCAAACTGCTGGAGAAAAAGAAGAGTGAGTACTGGAGGGGGCTGGTAGGCTTCACCATACCTTTGGGGCTCAGGAAACTTGGAGGTTTTTCTGAAGTCAGGGTGCTTTTGTGGGCCGAGTATTTAGTAGCTTTCTGCTATTCCATGCTGGACGCAGGCCTTGCAGCTTGTCCCAGTGTGTGAGGGCCCCGAGGAGCAGGCTGGCCACAGCTGGCTTCTGTCCACCTGCCTGGCAGGTGCTGGAGTGCAAGGTGTGGACTGGTAGCTGTGGGCTGTGTGTGCTCACAGCACAGTGGGAAACTCCCTGGGTGCTGTGGGAGGTTCTCCCTACCTGCCCTGCCCTGACACAGATAAGGTCTGTGGTCCTGGTTGACTCTGCAAGGAGGTTGTAGGTGCAGAAGTGCTTCCAGCAGCTAAAGCCCATCCTCCTTTCTCCTGAGAGTTAGTGTACTTGGACCTGGACACAAGGGCTCCGCCAAGCCATGGCCAAGTGTCTCATGCTGCAGAGGCTCAATGGGAGAGAAGCTGCTGGTGGCTTTGGGTGTGGTGGGGACTGTGGGGGGTCTGGAGGCAGCAGCCCCAGCCAGCACGGTGACCACGCTCGGGGATGTGTGCTGCAGCTGAGTTGGCCCAGAAGGCAAGGAAGGAGATTGCAGATTACCTGGCAGCTGGAAAAGATGAGCGTGCCAGGATTCGTGTGGAGCACATCATCCGTGAAGATTACCTTGTGGAGGCCATGGAGATCCTGGAGCTGTACTGTGATCTGCTGCTTGCCCGCTTTGGCTTGATCCAGTCCATGAAGTAAGCTTTGACTGAGATGGTCCTGGGCTCAGGGAGGGACACTGCTGGGGGGCAGGTCTGGGGTACAGCAGGGCACCTGTGTTTGTCTCAGTGTCCTAGGGCCCCCAGAGATCTTTTCTTCCCCAGGCAGGGAAGACTCTGGTGCCCAGCATGGAGGATGGGAACTTTGAGGCTAGGCAGATTGAGAGCATCAAAGGCACGGTGCATGAGGGAACTGGTTTTTGTGTCCTAGGGAGCTGGATTCTGGCCTGGCAGAGGCGGTATCAACCCTGATTTGGGCTGCACCACGTCTCCAGTCGGAAGTGGCGGAGTTGAAGATTGTGAGTAGGGTTCCTTGAGGGTGTTGTGCATGCTGGGTGGGGGTGATGCTGTCAGAAGCTGGTGGAAGCCCTTGTCTGGGACTTTGTGTCGCTAAAATAGAGGATGTGTATTCATGGGCTCTGCAGATGGAGACCTGATGTCCCTGGAGCATGCAGGGTGGCCGTGGCTGCTGAACAGGGATGCTCAGTGGCAGAAATGAGAGGGAGGGGGGCAGCTGTGGGGGCTACAGCAGGTGTGAAGTGTGTGGTGGGAGAAAGCAAGGGTGTGCATGTTCCTAGAGTTTCTCTCCCGTTGCAGGTTGCTGACCAGCTGTGCGCCAAGTACAGCAAGGAGTATGGGAAGCTGTGCCGGACAAACCAGATTGGAACAGTCAACGACAGGGTAATGAACCGGTGGAACAGCTGGAGCTGGCAGAGCAGCCACACCTGCCGAGGCTCACTGCCCCTCGGGCCTGTGCCAGTGGGTGATGCCCATGGTCACTGCAGAGCAGGGCGGGCAGATGGAGCCCTCCTGTGTTGGAGCACGGTGCTGAGAGCTTGGGCAGGGGGGCCCTGCCATGCTGGTTGTGGATGGGGAGCACATGGAGCCCTGGCCTGTGGCTGCCCACAGTGTGCTGCACTGGGCAGAGGCTTCTCCAGAGCTGCCCAGTGCTCCCTGCAGCTGGTGGCACTGGCTGGGATAGAGCTGGGATGGTGCTGGGCCGGAGCTATGGGGTGCTGCACTGCCCTAGCCCTACTGAATCTCTCCATGCTTGTGTTGCAGCTGATGCACAAGCTGAGTGTGGAGGCGCCGCCCAAGATCCTGGTGGAAAGATACCTCATTGAGATTGCTAAGAACTACAATGTGCCCTATGAGCCTGACTCTGTGGTGATGGTGAGTGAGCTGTGGGCTGTGGCATTGCAGTGAACTTGGTGATCATTGTGCTTCAGTATCTTCTAGACAGCCCCAGCACAGCACAATCCTTATTCCTTCCCACAGCCCTACAGCACGTGTCCGTAGTTACTCATGCTTCTGCCTGGTTCCTGTTCTGTTTTCCATCAATTCCACTGTAAATCCACTCTCTATTCTGTCCTCGTTGTTTATTCCCGTCTCGTCCAGTGACGAAGGCTGCATCTACTGCTGTTCAGAGGGCGGTGATCGGAACAGAGATGTGGTGGTGAGCAGGATTCTTCTACCCTTTCCAGGCTGAAGCCCCAGCAGGTGGAGAAGCAGATCTAATTGATGTGGGGTTCACGGATGATGTGAAGAAGGGTGGCCATGGAGGGGGTGGAGGTGGTGGATTTACAGCCCCAATGATGGGTCATGATGGGTTAGTACCCATGCCTGTGATGATGCCCATGCCCATGCCAACACCAAATCCACCCTTCTCCTATCCACCTCCAAAGGGACCGGTAAGTTCCTTGGCATTGTGTGTTTCTTTTTTTCTGTGAAAGATTCCGAGTATGGCACTTAGCCTTGTGCCTGCTGACTGGAAAGTGTCTGTACCTTGATATGTCAGAAGGTTATTGTGTTGGTGTGAGATTACATGGGATGGAGACTGTTGGCAGTGCAGCTGAAGCTTCATGTTGCTTCTTGACTGTGGAGGTTCCTAGCCCCATTCTCCAGCCAGCCCTCTTTGCCTTCAGGGAACAGAGGAGTCCAGACTTAACTCCTGAGGCAGTCTCCTGACTGCCAGGCTTTTGTCCAGGAGTTGGAGCTGCACTTCGAAGTTGGTAGGCTGATAGTGTGCCAAGATTCAGTCAAGGAAATCAGGTGAGTTTTTTGGGGTGGGAACAGCGCAGAAAAATGCGGAAGAGCCCTGCCTTCAGACCTGCAAGGGAAGGATACCAAGCCAATGGCTTTTGCAGATGACTTGCTGTGAGGGTGGAATATGGGAGCTGAAAAGAACCCCATTGTCTAAATTCAATCATTTTCAGGATATCTGTGTAGACTAGAGACTGTCAGAAGAGTGGGATGGCTTGGAGTCTTAATATGGTCCCAGTAGTGCTGCAGTGTTTTTTGTAGAAAATCTGGGCCAAGTATCATCAGCTGGCTGTTGGCCCAGGCATAAACATGCTGAGGACTTGTGCCAAGTCTTCTTCCTTGAGGCACTGTTGTGTTACAAGTGAGAGTATAATACAGATCTTTGTGTGAGGCAGAAATCTCCTTCCTGTTCTGTGATACTACACAAAGGGCCAGAAATGGCAGAGTATTCCCTTTTTGTCCTGTTACTTCTTATACCTTGAAAGATGAAGTGTTTACCTGTGCTGATTCTTTAGAATAATCCTGTTAGCTGGGTCTGCCTGCTCCAGGTGACTACAACTGACTTAATACTTGAGAATCTTTTACTTGTAAGCATAAACTCAATCCAGTTGGTTACTTGCCTGCATTTATCTAAGACTACTTCCTGTGGCTCCAGTAGCAGCTGTAGGTGTTTGATATCCCAGGTGAGTAGTCTGGTGCATGACTGATCTCTCTGTACAGGAGAACTTCAGTGGCCTGCCAGTGGGGACCTACCAGCCTTTCACTAACATCCACCCACCACCAATTCCGGCAAACCCACCCACATATGAGTCTGTAAGTGCCTGAGCTGAATGGCCATTGCGGGCAGCAGAGGGGCCCTCAAAGAGAGTGCAGTGGTAGCCACAGAGAAGGGGAGTGTTCATTAAAGACACTGCTGCCGACCTTTGGAGCTTTCGGGGTGGTGCTGGCATTGCTTACGGGTGAATCACTGAGTGCGCGTGATGGGAGGATGACTTGTGGGGAGAAGTTCCTTGTTCAGCTCTGTGCTTTGGCTGCAAAGGAAAGCCAGGATTTTTCTTGCTGCATCGATCAAGTAGCGATAAATAGTTAACAAGCAGAAGCAGAGTCTACAAATTCTGGGGTTTGCCATGTGAAGGGTTTATCACCTCAAGTCTGTTTAATTATGGCTTTTGAACTAATTAATAGTTAGCCTGGATGACAGTTTTGGCTGACCCAGATGCTGTATGTTTAAACACTCCTCTTTTCCCAGAACTTTACTCAGTCCTTGGGGAACAATGAAAGAGAGGCTGGAGACTTCCCCTTCTTTGCTTGTTTGTGGTTTTGTTGCTGTAGTTCATGGTCATGCCTCCCACACTCTGGTGACATGCTGCTTGTTTTTGCATTATCTTGAGTAGGAAGGAGCAAAGCTGAGCACCTGTGTGTGCTGAACCTTGGGCTCCTTGCACAGCAGCCTGAGTCCGGGAGGGGCAGGCACACTCGCAGCAGTGCAGGTGAACTGGGTGGGAATGGATGTCGCTGGCTGCAGCCTGCAGGGAATGAGGAGCTTTACCAGCACAGCCAGGTGTGCTGTGGGCCTTTGTCCCAGTCAGGCCAAAACCTGAGATGCATCATTTCATACCCTGCTGCTAGTCACAAGGGCTTGTCAGTGGTTTATGATGAAAGGCAGAAGAGCTGTGATGACATGGATGAAGAGGGCAGTCTTTTCTCACTCATGCCCTCGAATGTTTCAGACATAATAGTGGATGTGCCCTGTTGATTCAGTTCCAGAATATGGTCAGTGAAGCTGTTTTCATTGGAGGGAGAGGAAAGCTGAAGTGCTGCCTCTATTTCTCAGGAAGAGAGGCAGATTGTTCCAAAGCCAATGCTGTCTGCTCAGGGCAGGGAGGAATGTGCTCTGCTCTGCTGGGACTGTGTCCCTGAGCTCTGCCTGCACGCTGGATTGCTGGAGTGACCATGCCTGCTGGGACAGAGCTGTAGTAACTGAGAGTCTTTTTCAGATTGATGAGCCGAATGCTGACAAGGACACTGCTGCACCAGTGCCTGGTATGTCCAGGGGTTTGGAAAACTGGGGGTGTTAGAGGCTGTTCAGAAAAACCCATTGGTGCTGCCTGTTTCCTGGAATGAGCTTTCCCTTGTGCAGCTCTGTTTGGCCTGGTGTGTGCTGACAGTGAGGTGCAATGATACGTCTCTTTTAAACAGGGCCTGAGCCCAAGCCAGAAGCTTCTCCTAAACCAAGAGCTGGAGCTCCTAATACCATTGATAACTTTGTGCTGCCTGAATTACCGTCTGTGCCGGACACGCTGCCAACAGCATCTGCTGGCGCCAACTCCTCTGCCTCAGAAGACATTGACTTTGATGATCTTTCTCGGAGATTTGAGGAGCTAAAGAAGAAGACATAAAAATTCCTGGGCTGCAGGAAGGAGGGGCAGGAGCTTCTCCCTGAAAAAGACTTTCCTTGAAATTGGTTTCCTATATTAACCTCGAATGAACGCACTCCTTTTTGAGCTCTCTTCCTGCTATACTTACACCAAGTGCTGCCACTTTACTGATCTTTGTTGCTTAAGGAGGTGAACTGTGGGGAATCGTGTGAGACTGGGTCCCTGTCAGTCTGGGTAGCTGTGTGGGGAAGCTGTGTCTGATGTTCTTGGCAGTGTTCCTGGCTGCTTTCGTGATAGCTCCGTGCTCCCAGAGGAGGCTCCCTCTTGGGGGAGCCCTTGCTGGCCTTCATGGTGTTCTGAGGGGAGTCTGTTCCCAAGGCTTCACGTTCTGCCTCGGCCTACTGAGCACGACTGGCTGGGCAGAGGGCAGGGCCAGGGGGGCTCTGCTGCTGCCCAGGGGCTCCCCTGGCTGCTTTGCTGCTGGGCACGGAGCAGGTGTGGAAGCTGATGGGATACGCGGCAGCACCTTGTTTTTCACCGAGCCAGGGGTGGGGTCTCCCAGGGCTGTACTTTACTTGTCCGTGATGCTGCCACACCCGTACGTTCCCTGTCCTGTGCCCGTCCGTGATGCCGCAGACGGTTCCAATAAAGCTGGACCCGGGCTGTTCCGGCCCCGCCCTCGGTTCCCTTGAAGAGCGGCCCCGCCCTAACCTGTTGCTGCGCCGCTATTGGCTGGAAGGGTTCGCCGCTCTGCCAATCACCGCAGGGGCTCCCGGAAGTGCTCGCACGTGGCGGGCTGAGCCCATGGCGGCGGCGCCGCTGCGCGTGAGCGGGGCGGGGGGACCCGGGCCGGCATGGGCGCTGCTCACGGGGACCGGGCACGGCCGAGGCGGCTGGGGATGGAGCGGGGAGGGACGGGACGGGGCAGGATGGGTGGTGTGGGGTCCGGGGCCAGAGAGCCGGGATATGAGGGTATGGCATAGGAAGGGGGTGCCGGTAGCAAGAGGGGATGGGTAGCGGGGTGGGATGGGTGCGGGTGCTGGAATGGGATCGATGCCGGTACGAGGATGGGATGGGTGGTGGTGCGGGTGCCGGGTTGGGATCGGAAGGGGGATGAGTGGGTGGTAGTGCCGGTAGGGAAGGGGGAGGGGATCGGTACCGGGACGCAGGGGTGCTGGTGCCGGTAGAGGGGCTGGGTCTCGGCGCGCCGCTGACGGCCGTGGCACAGGGGCGGCTGCGGGCGCTGGCGCTGGGAGGCTGCGGGCTGCTGCTGGGCTCGATGCTGGCGGCGGGAGACGAGCGGCTCTACGCGGCGGCGGTGATGCCCGCTCTCCGGGCGCTGCCCCCGGAGGCCGCCCACTGCCTGGCTCTGCGCGCTGCTGCCCTCGGACTGCTGCCCCCAGCCCGTCCCGACGGCCCCGCGCTGGTGCGGCTCTGGCGGGGGGAGATCGGGGGTAGGGCGGGGCAGAGAGTCGGGAGGGCGGAGTGGGCGGGCGGCCGGGAGGTCGTGTCCCAGTGGAAACCTGTCACGGTCCGCGGGAGAAGACGAGGGTCTCTCGGGCAGGCACTCCATGAGGCCACCCCATGGGGCAGAGGAAGGGAGGTCAGGGGAGACAGCCGGGCTGCTCGGGAGGGGTCTGGAGTGAGGCCCCGGCTGTTTTTCCTGCGGTCAGCGGGCCCTGACCCAGACTTGTCCCTGCAGGAGGTGCGAGTCCTCGGGCAGCGATTCCGCAACCCCCTGGGCCTGGCCGCTGGCTTTGACAAGCAGGGTGAGGCTGTGGACGGGCTATACAAGATGGGCTTTGGCTTTGTGGAAGTGGGGACCGTCACACCCAAGCCCCAGGAAGGGAACCCCAAGCCCAGGGTCTTCCGGCTGGCAGAGGATGAGGCGGTCATCAACAGGTGGGAGCTGAGGGTAGTGCTCAGCCATGTCCTGCGGTCTGCCCACCCTGAGGGTGGTTATTTGGGGAAGGTCAGGGGTGATTTTCACCCCATGGCTGGCTTGCACTCAGGGCAGCAGGTCCCTCTATGCCAGCACCTGCAAGTGCACATGGCAGTGCAGGGTTATTTTGGTGGTCCCACTCTGTGGTTGGTGCTGTGGTGACTTTTGGGTTGGATGAGCTGAGCAGAGCTGCAGAGACTACGTCTGCCTTGTTCTCCCATGTCCTGATTGGGCCCAGCCATGAACCCTGTGTCCTGGTACAGGTATGGATTCAACAGCCATGGCCACGTTGCAGTGGAACGCAGGCTGCGGGCCCGCCAGGAGACACAGACCAGGCTCACTGGTGGTGAGATAAGACTTTGCTCTTGTGGTCTGCAGGGTGGGTTTGGGGGTCTCCCAGGTAGCTGTAGGCCAGGAAAGGCGTGTAACACCAGTGTCCGGGCACAGGAGCACTCTGACCAGAGCAAGGTACTCTCGGGCAACAGGACCCTGTTGGGGCTGTAGACTCTCCCCCTTGGGATTGTGATCAGGCACCTTTCTCCTGCCATTTTCTTTGGGATTAAGTTCCACTTACTGCTTTAGGCAGAACATGTTAAAGCCAAAGCCAAAAGGACCCCAGCTGGGCAGATCTGGAGGGCAGCCTCTGCCAGGCTGTGATGCTGGGAGGTGCTGAGTGGGGCAGCTGTGGTGATGCTCCTGTGGCTGTGGGACAGTGCCAGGCCCATTCCCATGAAATAAGTGAGCTGTATATCCCCATCTTGATTTTAGCTGGTCCTGGAGCCTCCCTTTTTGTTGCTCTGGCCCTTGGGTGGTGGTTGGTCCTGCTGCCCTAGTTCATCCATGTCTGTGTTCCAGCGGGTATGCCCCTTGGAATCAACCTGGGCAAGAACAAGAGCTCCATAGATGCAGCAGCTGACTACGTGGCTGGGGTCCGGACGCTGGGCCCTTTGGCTGACTACCTGGTTGTGAATGTGTCCAGCCCAAACACCCCAGGGCTGCGGGACCTGCAGGGCAAGACTGAGCTGCAGGACCTGCTGAGAAAGGTGGGTGGTCCCTGCCAGCCAGCTCGAACTGCAGCTGCAGCCCTGGATGCATGCTGTCCCCTGGCAGTGTCTGCTCCGCTCCAGCCAGTGGGTTTGCCCTGGCACAGGGATAAGTGGGGCAGCTCCCAGGAGTGGTGGGCAGGGCTGCCGAGATGTCCCCTGATCAGCTGCTGCCGTGGGGTGCACCAGGGCACTGTACTCCATCAAAGGGCTTGGGAGCAGTGAGGTATTGCCATCCACTCTGCTCCTGCCAGAGGCAGCAAGTCGCCCATCCCACGGCTTTGGGTGTCATCAGGGTCCAGTGCTGTCTGTGTGCCCCAGGCTCTCTACTGAGGTGCCTCTCTGTCAGAAGTGCCATGTAGAGGAGCAGGGCCTGTCCCTGTGCTGGTTGGTGCTCATGGCTCCTGGTCAAGGCATGAGGCCTCTCCCTGCCATGCACTGCCATGTGCACCCGCAGGTGCTGGCGGAGAGGGACCTGCTGTCCTGCAAGCACAAGCCAGCCGTGTTGGTGAAGATCGCCCCCGACCTCACTGCACAGGACAAGCGTGACATTGCCAGCGTTGTCTGCGAGGTAAGATGGGAAGGGGAGGCTGGTGTGCCTTGTGCCTCACCTCACACTGCACAGGGGCAGGACTGTGGCACTCCTGACAAGTCTCTCCTGACAGGACAGCTGTACCTGCAGCTCCCTGGCTGCCACAGGGATGGTATCCTGGGTAGCTTGGAGTCTGTGAGGACCTATGTGTGTCAACCAGATCTTGGGTGACCCAGACAGTCCAGGCACTGAGGGGCAGCTGCTTTGTGCCCAGGCATGTTTCTGGGTCATGTGCTGGGGGAGCCCTGAGCTGGCAGCCCAGGGGTGGGATGGGATAGGATGGGATGGGGGAGAGCTGCTTGTTGTGGCTGTGTCCTCATGCTGCTGCCCCCCTCAGCTAGGTGTGGATGGGTTGATTGTCAGCAACACCACTGTGAGCCGCCCCAGCAGCCTCCGGAGCAGGCAGCGCATGGAGCCCGGGGGCCTCAGTGGGAAGCCACTGCGGGAGCTCTCCACACAGACCATCAGGGAGATGTACTGTCTCACTCAAGGTAGGGGCAGAGCAGGGCTTGGGATGTGTATGCCAGCATTGCCTGTGCCATCCTGACCCTGTGCCTGCCCACAGGTCGGGTGCCCATCATCGGGGTGGGTGGGGTGAGCAGCGGGCGGGATGCCCTGGAGAAGATCCGCGCCGGAGCCTCGCTTGTGCAGCTGTACACAGCCCTCGTGTACCACGGGCCGCCGGTGGTGGGGGCAGTAAAGCGGGAACTGGAGGAGCTGCTGAGGTGAGTGGGGTCCGGGTACCTCCCCAGGGAGCCCCTGGGCCCAGGGTGGCTCTGATCAGCTTTGTGCGGATGCCCGAGCAGCACCACCGCAGGGCTGAGCTGCGGTGCCAGGCCGGCCCAGCCACCTCGCGCTGTCCCCGCTTAGGGAGCAGGGCTTCAAGAATGTCATGGATGCTGTTGGAGCGGATCACCGGTGCTGACATGCTGCAGAACCAAGGTCTAGCCGGGAGGACCCATGGCTAAGCAGGGATGAGTCTGATAATTCCAGTGCTGGGCAGGCTGGGACCAAGCCACAGTCCTGGTCTCAGCCCCTGAGAAGAGCCTGTGATGGGTGAAGCAGGGGCTGCATTGGTGGGGAGCAGGGGAGGGGACCTTCCACACCAGTGCCACCGCCCAGAGCTGTGTTTTGCTTCCCTATGGGCAGCTGAACCCAGCCCAAGTGTCAATAAACATTTGGCTCACCTGGTGTTATGTGTTGCTCTGGGGATACCCCATGGGCACAGCCCAGCTCTCCTGAGCCAAGCAGGATCAGCTCTCTATGTTGCTTCCATTTTTCTGGTAGGAGAAGCTGCAGGACAGCTGAGCTCTGGGATGGACTGACTGAAGTGCACCAGGGCTCCCATGGCAAGGACCTCTGCCTGAGGCCAGGCACTTGGGGGTGCTGGGTGCCAGTTCTTCCCTTTGCTGGCAGTACACAGCTCTTTGGAGATGGCTGCAGTTATGCCCTGTTATTATGGAAAGAGTCTGATTGGTAGTGCCTCTGCCTGTTAATTTTGTTTCTGAAGCCTCTGGCGCTGACTGTTCCCTCACCCTGAACTTCCTGCACTTATCTGGGGCTTTTCTTGAACAAGAGCTTGCCCTGGACACATCATTCCCTTTGGCAGCCTTTCGCAGTCCACCCTGCTGAGCAGGATTGCGCCACAGCACTTCCCCAAAGTTGTTTACAACTGCTGCCCCTGTTCCGAGTGGCCCTCAGCTCATGTCAGGGTCATCACCCACCTGCTCCCCCTACTCTGCAGCCCCTTGCACCAGCCTATTAATTTCCCAGATTCTCTGCTGTGGGATGGTGACACTTATCGCTGCTCTAACAGGGAAGGCACCTGATCTGTCAGCCAAGGTGTTGATTTGGAGAGGGCTGGGAGACTCTTGCTCTCCCAGGTTGAGAGTGACATAGCACCTTCCTAAAGTGCTTGCATGGTTCATGGGTCAGAGCTGCCAAGCCTTGATGAATTGGGTGCTGGACTCAAGCTTTCTGTGTGGTGGCACAAGTATGGCTGGTGCTGGATCACAGATGTCAAGCTCTGCATTTTTTGGGGGCTCAAATGCCCCATGAGATGGGAAGAAGCTCACAGAGGATGGGAAAGCCACCTGGGCTGTCTGGGATCAGCCACCTGAGCCTGAAGAGCTGGAGCATCCAAGGGGCAGGGGGCCACTGGCAAGACCCTGTCAGGCCAAGCTTCAATGGCTCAGGGCTGGGGCTAGTGCTGCATGCTGTGAATGGTTTTGGGGTGGCTTCCCTGCAGCACTGGCTCCCTCCCCTCCTGCTGCCCCTCAGCTATGCTGCTGGAGGCAGACTGCTCGTGGGAACAGGCTGATGTACTCTGCCCTGCATCCCTGCTGCTGCCCAGCCACATCCAGCTGGGCACTGGCCAGCAGTTGCTGCTGTGAGTTCCCGTAAGCCTGGGTTGAGCCCTCTGCTGCTGACAAACAACCTGCACTCCTGGGGACAGAGGCTGCCAGGACATGGGGCGGCAGCCCCACTGCGTGGGAAGGGGTGGGTACTGTTTGGAAGCTGGCTTGGCTGCGGTCCCTCAGAGCCTGTCCCTGACATGGGACAGGCTGTTCCCCTTGGCCAGCAGGGCTGGCACTGCCCAGGGCACTGGTACCCCAGCTCTGGGTGGGTGTACCCTGACTGTGAGCAGAGCCAGGAACAGGATGGGATGGGACCCGGCTCCTGGGAACCAGCTTCTCCTGCCAGCACTGGGGCAGTCGCCTGTGCCCTGCAGGGACTGTGGTAGGTGTGGGCCCAGGACAGGTTTGCTGAGGGCAGGGGCTGGTTTTCTCTCTGTGAGCCTCAGTTGGTGTCACAGTGCCAAGGCACCGGTGTCCACAGCCAGACCCCTCCCCCGTATTTGTAGCTGCAAAATCCAGGAAACTCTTGGCACCTTGGCTTCCCATGGGGGCTTGGCAGCTTCCTGAGAGCCTCTGCCAGGCCGGCGCAGAGCCAGGTGGGGCTTTTTGTGCTGCTCCTGCTGGGAAAGGTGCTGGCTGCAGGCAGCAGGGTCAGGAGGTCTGGAGCTCTTGGGCTGTACCGGGGGGAGGGAGGTGGCAATAAAAGGGGTGAGGAGGGAGCCCAGAGCAGCAGTGACCTGCAGGAGGAGGCTGCTGTAAGCATGGGGTGAGCAACACTGATGTTTTCCTCCATATGCTCAGTGCTCGCTCTGTCCTGCTTGCCTGGCTGAGGACCTGGCCCTGCTGAGGGCCATGGCAGGACCCATGTTGGGCCTGGAAGCATCCCAGGTTCCAACCCTGCGGCCTTACCCTCTGCAGCAGCAGGGTCCAGGTCTGGCTCCTCCTGGGACAGGACATGAGCCCGACCAGGGCCTTGGTGGAGCCCATGGCTGGGAGCAGGGGAGCTCTCTGGGAGCTCTCTGCTGATGCTGCCCTCTTCTCCCTGCAGACCTGCAGAGCTGCTGATTGCTGGCCTGGCCTGGAGCGTGCTGGGGACTGCAGCTGCCACCGGTACCTTCCAGGGCAGGCGGGGAGCACTAGGGTTCAGCCAGAGGGGAGGGACTTGGCAGGGAGCAGACATGGGGCAGGGAAGATGGAACTAAGGAGGTAACCAATGGAGGTGGGAGCACATCCTCGGCTTGGTGCTCTGGGCCAGCTGAGCATTCTCTGCCTGCAGAGTGGAGCTGTGCAAAGCCTGCGGAGATTGAACATGGCCATGTGGAGCACCTGGTGGTCAGGTACCGCTGCGACCCCTACTACCAGCTGCGTGGCTCCGGTGATGGTGAGGCACATCCCCACCTCCAGGGGATGAAAGGGGCTGCCCCAATGCTGGGGATGCAGCCCCCCCACCCCACTTCCTCGGGGGTATGAGTAGCTACACCTGCTCATCCAAGGCTTGGGGAGATACAGGCACCTCTGTGCCTCCCTGGCTGCAGGGCAGGGATGCTGACTCTGGTTTCTCTTCAAAGGAACATACAAATGTGATGGGAATCAGGTCTGGATGAGTCCTGAAGCTGGTAAGGAGGTGCCTGTCTGTGAGCCAGGTGAGAGCAGAGCTACAGGGGCTGGGGCTGTGAAGAGCAGTCTGTGCAGTCAAAGGGCTGCAGGGGCTGCTCCCTGCGGCTGCTGAGCATCACTGGGCTGAGGGGGCTCACCTGGGCTCTGCTCTGCCCTATGCAGTGTGTGGAAAACCGAAGAACCCACCCCGGCAGATGCAGCGCATCATCGGGGGCCTGCTGGCTCTGAAGGGCAACTTCCCTTGGCAGGCCCGGATGGTGACCCGCCACAACCTCACTGTGGGGGCCACACTCATCAGTGACCAGTGGCTGCTGACCACGGGCAGGAATGTGTACCTAAACCACAGTGAGAACACCAGTCTGGAGGAGATCGCCCCTACGCTGCAGCTGTTCCTGGGCAGCCGGGAGCAGCCTGCCTTGGACATTGAGCACATCGTGCTGCACCCCGGCTACCCGCAGGCTGTGGACCTGGCCCTGCTGAAGCTCAAGCAGAAGGTGCTTGTTGGAGAGGAGGTGATGCCCATCTGCCTGCCCCAGAAAGACTATGTGCAGCCAGGGCGGGTGGGCTATGTCTCAGGCTGGGGCCGTGGTGCCACCTTCGCCTTCTCCGACATGCTGAAGTACGTGATGCTCCCGGTGGCTGAGGACAAGCAGTGCCAGGAGTACTATGGGGCACGGAATGCATCCTACTGGGTGCAGCCCATCCTCAGCAATGATACCTTCTGCGTGGGTATGAGCGAGCTGCGGGAGGACACCTGCTACGGGGATGCCGGCGGGGCCTTTGCTGTGCAGGACCCCGATGACAACACCTGGTACGCAGCCGGCATCCTCAGCTACGACAAGACCTGCACAGCTGCCAAGTATGGCGTATACGTGGACGTGCAGCGTGTCCTGGCCTGGGTGAAGGAGACAGTGGCAGCTGGCTGAGGGGCTGCAGGGGAATAAAACTGTCCTGCCCTGGGCTGCAGGCTGTGTCTCTGTGCAGGCTGTGTGTGTCTGTCTGTCTGTCTGCAGGCTCGGTGTCTGTGCAGCACGCGGGCCTGTCAGCGCGGGGGCGAGCGTGTGCCTGCCCTCACCCCGCCACATCCCAGTGGGTCACTACAAGCCTTTGCCAGCGGTTGGCTGGAGGGCCCAGGGCTGCAGGGGCTGCCCGGGATTCTAGGAGGTTCTCGCTGCCGTCCGCGGTGTGTGGGCGTCCGTGGGGGGCTCGCTGTCCCCGGGCCGCTCCCATGGGGGCTGTCCCTCGCTGTCCCCGCTGGGGCTCGCTGTCCCTGGGCTGTTCCTGCCGGCCCCGCCCCTCCGTGACTTCCCCGCTGCCTCGGCGGCCACGTGACCGCGCGGGCCCTCCCCCGGCCGGAAGTCCGCCGGGAGCGGCAGCGCGGCTCGTCCAGCGGGGTTCTCACCGGCCGGGGCGGCGCTCCCATAGGCTCTGCCCGCCGTGTCTATGGTGCGCGGGGCTAGAGCGGCTCCTCCCGCGGAGCACTGTGGGGTGGCCATGGCGGCGCCAGGGCAGCCGGGCTACAGTCGCTGAGGGAGCCGCGGGCGGTGCCGACGGCAGGGCCCACGGCGGCCGCCATGGCCTCGGTCAGCGAGGAGTCGCTGCACCGGCTGTCGGGGACGAGCCCGGGCGGCGAGGCGGGCGGGCTGCTGCAGCGGGCGCAGGGCGCCGAGCAGCACGTCTTCAAGGCGCCGGCCCCGCGCGCCTCCCTGCTGGGGCTGGACGTGCTGGCGGCGCAGAAGCGGCGGGAGCGCCAGGAGGAGGCGGCCGGGGGGAAGCGATCCCGGGTCGCATCCTACAAGGACTGGGAAGAGGGTCGTGACGAGGCGGGCAGCGCCGAGGAGGAGGACGAGGAAGAGGACGAGGACGACCGGAGCAGCCGCAAAGCTCGCAGGAACAGGTGGGGTCTGCGGGGGCGGGGGTGCTCGTGATGCCCGCGGGGGTCGCTACCGGCCGGGAAGGGAGCGGGGGGCGAGCACAGGTGGTGTCACGGGGCTGCGGCCTCCGGGGTGGCGGGGAGGGAGGCCTGAGGGGGACTGCGGGCCACTAGGGCAGAGCTTGGAACTGGAGCCGTACGTGACCAGCTGAAAGGCATCTGTTGTTTAGCACTCCTGAGCGTTTCTTCTTTCTGCTCTGTCTGCCCAGGCATTACCGCTCCGTCCATGTGGAGACACCTTCATACACAGGGGGTGTCAGCGAGGAGTTCTGGGAGCGCAGCCGGCAGCGGGAGAGGGAGCGTCGGGAACACGGAGTCTTTGCCTCCTCCAAGGAGGAGAAGGAACGGAAGAAGGAACGCAGTAGGGATCGGGACCACGATCGTAAACGGGACCGTGGTAACTGCTCAGAGACCTTTGTGGTGCTTCTTCCTTTGGGTCTGGGCTTGTCCTGGCACCTGTTTGTAGTCCTTAGCTAATGTTTGTGATGATTTCTGCAGCAGACTTAGGAAACTTGTATGTGTAATAGGCACCTGATCCTACTTTGTTTTCACAGAGGAGCGGGACAGAAGTCGTCACAGCAGCAGATCAGAAAGGGATGGTTCATCGGAACGAAGCAGCAGGAGGAGCGAACCTGAGAGCCCTCGACATCGGCCCAAAGGTGGGAGTGGGATCCAGTAGAGCTCTTAGTGTGAGACCTAACAGAGAGGGTCTTGGGTTTTTTTTTTTGCTTCCTGCTGGTTGTGTCAGGACAGAGATGTGTGAAAATCTGGCAGATCTCTGCAGAGTGGCATTTATTCTGGGTCTGTGTGGCCCTTTGGCAATTCCTTGAAATCACTTGGTCAGCTCCTGCCCTTAGAGGGAGAGCAAATGAATAGTCTCTCTCCCTGCTCCTCACTAGAAGGTGTTAGGTAGCTCCAGATGCTCGGGGCCACTGTTTGAACATCAGGTGTCAAACCCCACCTCCTCTGCCAGATGCAGCCACACCATCTCGCTCCAGCTGGGAGGAAGATGATAGTGGCTACAGCAGTGCCCGTCGCTCACAGTGGGAATCTCCCTCACCCACACCTTCCTACCGGGACTCGGAGCGCAGCCACCGGCCATCGTCACTGCGGGACACGGACCGGCGGGAGCGGGACAGGTACTGGTGCCTGGGGCAGGGCTGTAGGCTGTGGGGCTACAGAAAGGGGACAGTGTGCTTGGGAGCAGTGCTAGGCTGTGGCACCATGTCCTCACTCATGCTGCCTTCTCAGGTCTGTGAGGAGCAGGTACTCGGACAAGACGCCATTGCCCACCCCATCGTACAAGTACAACGAGTGGGCTGACGACAGGAAGCACCTGGGGGCTACGCCACGGCTGTCCCGGGGGAGAGGTGAGGAGTCAGAGCTGGACTGCCTGGGGCAGGCGGCACGGAATCCCCTTCCCTGCAGCACACTGTCAGCTCTGTGGGGTTTCCTCGGGAGTGTTCTGGACCAACTGTCTCGCCCGCAGGCCGGCGCGCGGACGGGGAGGAGGGCATCACCTTCGAGACGGAGGAGGAGCGGCAGCAGTGGGAAGATGACCAGCGGGTGAGAGCCGGGGGCAGGTGAGGGGCTTGGGGCTGCCAGGCTGTGGGGGCCAGGCAGAGCTCAGCGCTGCACCTCTCACTTCCCAGCAAGCTGACCGGGACTGGTACATGATGGATGAGGGCTATGACGAGTTTCATAACCCCTTGGCCTACTCCTCTGAGGAGTATGTGAAGAAGCGGGAGCAGCACTTGCACAAGCAGAAGCAGAAGCGGATCTCAGCACAGCGGCGACAGATCAATGAGGTAGGGCCAAGACGTGGGATTGGCTGCTCTGAACACGTGGGGTTGGCTGCCTCTTGAGAGACTCATGGGCTGAGCCCTTGCTGTCAAGTGGAGAAGGACGCTCTTGGTCCTGGCCCAGGCTGATGGAGGGCTCACAGGCAAACTGTGATTGAGTTCCCCTGGAAATTCCAGCTCTGTGTCTCCTACATGGGCAGACTTTGCAGTTAGAGTGGTTGGTGGATTGCAGTGTCCAAGGCAGCAGGAGTGCAGAGGGCTGTGCTCCTGTTGTTCTGGGTGTGAGGTACATTTACTGGGACTGTCCAGTGTTGGCCCAGTGGATGCCGCCCAGGGGGCAACTGTCCTCAGCACATGAGCAGGCCTATGTCCAGGCTTCTTCACGCATTCTGAGTGGGATAGGGGTCTTGTGGGCAATGTCTGTCCTGCATTTCCTTGGAGGCAGTCCTATTGACCATTGCCTTGCGTGGTCAGTCTCTTTCTTGTACGCTACTTCAAGCTACTGTTTCTTCCTTTGTGCTCACTTTCAGGCTCCCTAGGTCAGAACCATCAGTTCCATCCTGTTGCCAGTGTGGCACCCAGACCTGAGCTCAGTGTTCTGGTGTGATCTCTGGGGCTTTTTGTGGGTCTTCTGTGTGTTTATGAGATTTTGTTTCCTACAGGATAACGAGCGCTGGGAGACGAATCGCATGCTGACCAGTGGTGTGGTCCATCGGATTGAAGTGGACGACGATTTTGAAGAGGATAACTCTGCTAAAGTTCATTTGTTGGTGCACAACCTGGTGCCCCCTTTCCTAGATGGAAGGATTGTCTTCACCAAACAGGTAGAGGCTGTAGCTGAAGGTGCTGATATGAGGTGCATGTATGAGCCCTTTGTACTGAAGCAATGCCTCCTCCCTCCAGCCAGAGCCCGTCATCCCTGTGAAGGATGCCACCTCGGATTTGGCCATCATAGCCCGGAAAGGCAGTCAGCTGGTGCGCAAGCACAGGGAGCAGAAGGAGCGTAAGAGGGTATGCTGTGACCTTTTGGCTTGCTGCTCTCTGTACATGTTAGGTAGTGCCTCACAACCTTGTTTGGACTCTGCAGAATTCAGGCTTTGGCAACAGTGATGATAAGGAGTTCATATTTTTGTGACTTGGGACATCTTGGCCGCACAGCTCACTGCATTGCCTCATAGCAGCTCCTGTGCTGTGATTGCCTCGGGTACTGCCTGGGACATGAATCACTGTGCACTTAGGCAGAGGAGGCTGATCCAAAGGACATTTGGATCATGGAAGAAGAAAGCAGGGAGAAGAGTGCCAGTTAGCTTGGGGACAGCCATCAGGCAGTATGGTGGCAGTATGGCATACTATTTTCTTAGGAGGCAGTTGCTCATCCTGTGCCTGTATCCATAGCAGTGTCTTAAAACTCTGCTCCAGTAAATTTGGAAGAGGGAGACCTGATGAAGAGTGGGGTGTGCATTCTGCATTGGGAAATTGTGGGACAAATGTCTTTTCCTAGTCTTATAAGTAGGATTGTATGTGCTTCTTGTCTTAAAGTTATGCTGCTTTTTGTCCGTCCAGGCTCAGCACAAGCACTGGGAGCTGGCAGGCACTAAACTGGGAGACATTATGGGGATCAAGAAAGAAGAGGAGAAGGATGAAATGGTGACGGAAGATGGCAAAGTGGATTACAAGTAGGGACTTGCTCTGAATTACTCTGCTCAGGTGGTGATGGGGGCTGTGGGTATAGCAGAGTGTGTGGAGAGGCAGCTTCAGGACTTGTGATGTTTCCTTAGGACTGAGCAGAAGTTTGCTGAACACATGAAAGAAAAAAGTGAAGCCAGCAGTGAGTTTGCCAAGAAGAAATCGATCCTGGAGCAGAGACAATACCTGCCCATCTTTGCTGTGCAGCAGGAACTGCTCTCCATCCTCAGGTATGGCTACCAGGGCATCCCCAGAGTATTGGCCTATGTTTTGGAACCCAGGTGAGGAATTCTAGATTCAATGGCCATTTGGAAGCTGTATTATTTGGGAACAAACCCCATTGCTTTCTGTGGGTGGTGGCAGCTCCTGCCTGAGCAGGATGACACTTGGCTGGTGAACACAGAAGCCCTTCTTTGTAGTGTACAAAGAAATACTTTTTCCTTTTCCACAGAGACAACAGCATTGTGATTGTGGTGGGGGAGACAGGGAGTGGGAAGACGACCCA